ATATATATATATATTATATATATATATATATACATATTTATGTATTATAAATACATATATATATCATACTATACCGTTATAATAATGAAAAATCATACCAATTTTGATGAACAATAAAAAACATATCATTATGAATAAATATAGATTACAACAATAACAATATGATAATAACAATGATAACAGTAATAGTAAAAATAACATTAAAATCAATAATGATAGCAATCATTATAATGATAATGATAATCATTTGTAGTAACAATAATAACAAAAAAAAATAATGATAAAGATAAAACAATCATAACAATAATAATGATAAAGATAATAACACGAATAACAATAATAATAATGATAAAGATAATAACAATAATAATAACGATAATAACAACAACAATAATTATAACTACAATAATGATATTAATCCCTTCACCTCTTATCCCACCTTTCGTTAATTAACTCGGGACTTCTCTCTCACTTCCCCTTCCCTCAGTTATTCTTCCTCTTCTCTCTCCCTCTCTTTCTCCCCCTGTTTGATGTGCTAACGAAAGACTAAGAACAAACTCGTCTTTTCTTTATTCTTTTTTATCTCTTCTCCTTTATCTCCTCGTTTTATCTTCGTCCCTCGCTTATCTCCTTCTCTACCACTTCCTTCCTTTCCTTTTCCATATTCTTTTCGTTCCTCTTTTGGTCTCCCTGTCTCTCTATTCTCTAATTTTAGCGGTTTTATAAATCGGATGAATTATGTAAATAATGATAAAGATTAGGGACAAGCGGTAAGCATTCATTTCTCGGGATAAAAGAGAAGAAGAAGAAAAGAAGAAGAAAGAAGAAGAAAAGAAAAAAAGAAAAAGAAAAGAAGAGAGAAGAGAAGAGAGAAGTGGGGGAAGTAGGAAGGGGGAGGAGGGGGGAGGGAAGTGAAGGGAGAGAGGAGAGGGGGAGAGAGGGAAGAGGGGGAGGGAGGGAGGGAGGGAAGGTGAGAGAGAGAGAGAGAGAGAGAGAGAGAGAGAGAGAGAGAGAGAGAGAGAGAGAGAGAGAGAGAGAGAGAGAGAGAGAGAGAGAGAGAGAGAGAGAGAGAGAGAGCGGAATTGGTTCTTTAAAAAGATACCGAGACATTAATTAAGAACAATACCCCATATCAATGTCAATGACAATAACAATAATACAATAACAATATTCCTAATTATAACAATATAACATCAACGATAACATCACTCATCATAACATTAATAACCATAATACCAGCATCAGTAAAGATATAATAATACCAATAAAATATAAAATTCTAACAACAAGCAAATATACAAAGCAAAACACAAAGAAAAGAAAACAAAGAAAGCGAAAAGAAGACAAAATCAAACAAAGAAGACTTACGAAAAATAAAACACTTACCCTCAAGGGCTCGTGTTTCCTCTAACAAGAAAAAATAATAAAATGAAAAAGAATAACATTAATGAGCATAATAATTGGATTCTGAGGCCTATAAGATCGCTTCCACCCCCCCCCTTTCGGTCTTCTTTTTCCTCCTCCTCCCCCTCCTCCCTCTCTATCTCCTCCTCCTTCTCCTCCCTCCTCCTCCTCCTCCTCCTCCTCCTCCTCCTCCTCCTCCCTCCCCTCCTCCCTCACCCCCCTCCTGTACTTCTCCCTCCTTCTTTTACGCTCCCCTCTCCCCCTCCTCTTTTTCCTTTTCAAAAAAAAAGAAGAAAAAAGAAAAAAAAAAAAGTGCATTGGTATATTGATTCTTCAGAAGAAAAAAATATATACGTAAAATCCATGATTGTCAAGATATGCCATTCTTGCATTGGGCTCTCGCGCGTGTGACGTCATCACTACAGATGGTAATAATGATAAGTTTCTGTCTCTCTGTTTCTCTTTTTTCTGTTTCGCTTGTTCTTCTTTCTTCTTCTTTCCTTTCTTGTTTTCCTTGCTCTCATCTCCTTACCCTCCCCCTCTCTTCTCTCTCTCTCCTCTAATCTCTCTCTCTCTCTCTCTCTCTCTCTCTCTCTCTCTCTCTCGTTTTATCTATATTTCTTTCTTCTTTCGAAATACTTACATAATAATAATAATGCCAAAACAATTGTAAACATAATAATAACGACGATATAAATGTAATAAAAATAAATTCAAAACAAAGATCCAAAATAAAAGTAACGAATAAGAGAAGAAACGAGGAGGATGAGGAGGAGAGCAAATAGAAGAGAAAGAAGGAAGAATAGGCAAAGGAGAGAGAGAGAGAGAGAAAAGAAACTTAGAACGGAGAACATATCTCAAGATTTAGTTCATATTTGCATATCATCTGCCCAGCTACGATGAGGTGCTATTTTGGAGGGAAGGGAGGGGGAAGGGGAGGGGAGGGGGGGAGGGAGGGGATGGGAGGAGAGGGGGGAGGAAAAGGGAGGAGGGGAAGGGAAGGGAGGAGAGGGGGAGAGGGGAAGGAGGGGAAGGAGGAGAGGGGGAGAGGGGAAGGAGAGAGGGAGGGGAGGGGGAAGGGAAAAGAGGAATGGGAGCAGGAATGCAAGAGAGAGAGAGAGAGAGAGAGGGAAGACGGAAAGGAAATGGGGGGAGGAGGGAAAGGAAAAAGGAAATGGGGGAGGAGGGAAAGGAGGGAGAAGATCCGAGGAGCGTGGGGAAGTGGGTGATGAGACGGGGAGCTGTGAAGGGGTCAGAGGTCATAATCGACTCGGTCCTGGGTCAAAGTTTCTGCACGTCATCAGAATATTTAACAGGCGCCATCTCTGGAATGGAATGGAAGCGTGAAAAAGCGATCTGGAAGCGAAGAGAGGAGGAGGAGAGTGGGTAGGAGGAGAGGAGGAGGAGGAGGAGGAGGAGTAAGAGAAAGAAGAGAAGGAGGTAGGAGTAGAGAAGAGAGAAAGAAGGAGGAAGGTAAGAGAAGAGAAGAGGAAGAAGAGGAGGTAAGAGAAAAGAAGAGAAGAGGAGGGAGAGAGGTAGGAATAGAGAAGAGAAGAGGAGGAGGAAGAGGTAGGAGATGAGAAGAAGGGGAGGAGGAAGCAAGAGACGAGAAGAAGAGAGGAGGAGGAGGAGAAGGTGAGA